CGGTCGTGTGTGTCCCTTGCGTGCGTGTGCCCGTACTGCGCGCGCCGCGCGTGTGCTATCTGCGCTCACTGCTCTGTGTGTGTTTTCGCGTTCGATGCCGTGCGTGATGGTCACGCGCGTGTCGGGTGTGCCGTGCCCGCCACGTGCTGTGTGTATGAGTGCTGGCACGCCGCGGTGTGTCGTGCGTATCGCACGCGCGTGTGTGTATCTGTCCTGTAGTTTCGTTTAAATGCGCGCGCGCTGCTTTTCGCGGCGCTTCGCTACTGCATGGCGTGCAGCGTGGCGAGTTATGATGGCGTGCCGCTGCCTATATGTTGTGTGAGCCTGTTGTCGCATAATGTCTTATACGTGACGGAGCGCACTCAAATAAATACTTACAAATAATTATTTCAGCTAGCAACGACTTGTTGTATTTCACCGGCATTCGAAGTTATCCGGGACGCGGCGTGCACCGTGTGAGAAGGCGTATATTAGCGTATATATATAAGGCGTAAATAAGCGTAAATTAATCATAAATCTATTAAGGCATATAGAAGCCCGTAAAACAAGCGAAACAAATTGAGGTCATTTTAATCATGACATTTCGCTGACAATCATCTAAATTTCAGCTGCTTAATAAAAGCGCTGCAAGACTACTGGCCTGCGGGTTTTTCGCACACAGTTGATAACGAGCAATCTTGACGATGGCGTCGGTTTGCTCTTCAGCTGAAATAGCCCACGCGTCATGCCTACAAGGTGCAGGCTGAGCACGATGACGTCATTCGGACGAGGGCGGACTACCCTGCATGGCGCGCATTGAAAGGACAAGATGCCGTACACTGAGGGCGCACGCATTGCCGGCCAGAGGCAGAGAGTAGGTGAGCGCTGATCACGCATCTCATTGATATTGTTTTAATTATAGTAGCAAAAAAACAGTCAGTAAATAACAGTCTAAATTTTGGACGTAACATTGTTAAAAAACAAATAGGTTAAACACCCGATACTTAAAACAAGATAAGTATGGACAAGTTTACAATGCTTTTCTATATTACGCCAAATGCTTTTCATTATACTATCCTGTCCCCTTTGCCAGGTGACGTCATACCGTATCAACACTCGCATGAAGTATTGCCTATGACACTGAACAGGGGAGGTCTATAGATTCCCGCCGCACCACATGCTGATCGCGAACCTCACCGCTCATCTTGATGTATCTCCCCACCACCAAAAACAGTACTCCCTTTCCGGAACCCAAAAGTCTTCCGGGAGCGCCACGCTGACCGCGAAGCGGCACAATTTCGCTCATCGCATTCGAGCTTCTCATTCTCATGCTCATAGGCTGAGTCGGCTACGATCGTCTCATCACTGATCTTGGGGTGCGCTAGTGCGGCTTACCACACACACACACACACACACACACACACACGCACGCACACGCACGACACACACACGACACGCACGCACGCACGCACGCACGCACACACACACACACACACACACACACACACACACACACACGCGCGCGCGCGTCTCAGTCATTTACTGCATGACCATTAGCGCCACCTACCTGTAAATGTGGAATCCGCGTAACCTCGATCTCTGTCCTGCGCTGCTCTATCCAAGTACGCGTCGATAAAATCTGCAGGCGTAGACAGCGGCGCCACCTGGTGTCGCTGTTTGTGTATGATGATGTTTCTACGCATCTCGGCTGATATGATACGCAGGGCAGTTTTAAGCCTCGAAACGCCTTGTCTCATCGGCGGTAGATGGCGCAGCCAGTCGAAGAAATGTAGAACAGAATTCGGTCTCATCTCCAAGGCCACGACATCTACGTTGCTAATGAGTTGAACGAATGCCGGATCTTCGAGTTCGTATCGCTTTCCGAAGATGACCGAAGCGATGACGTTGACGATGCTGGCGGTAAGAAGCGTCTGAAATGTATATTATTAAAGAATTCACGTCGCCGGTAACTATTATTATTATTATTATTATTATCAAATCTTTATTGCGTGTAATTCAAATACTAATACAAGTACTGAAGATATGTCTTTTTCATGGAGAAAAAATCTGATAGAAGCAATCGTATCCGGTATATATTACATATCAGATCTATGTAATCTTGTAATCGTATAGCAAGAACTACACCGACCTTTCCGGTCATTTTTGGTCAAATATTGTATATAAATGTTGTATATTGTATATTGTATATTGCATATAGCATATTGCATATTGCATATTGCATATTGTATAATGTATATTGTATATTGTATATTGTATATTGTATATTGTATATTGTATATTGTATATTGCATATTGTATATTGTATATTGCATATTGCATATTGTATATTGTATATTGCATATTGTATATTGAATATTGTATATTGTATATTGTATATTGTATAATGTATATTGTATAATGTATATTGTATATTGTATAATGTATATTGTATAATGTATATTGTATAATGTATATTGTATAATGTATATTGTATATTGTATAATTATTGTATATTGTATATTGTATATTGTATATTGTATATTGTATATTGTATATTGTATATTGTATATTGTATATTGTATATTGTATATTGTACGTACCCGTGGGTCGAAGGTTTTCCCGTCGGTGTCGCGTAGGTGTGCAATACAGGCCGACGCCTCCTCTTGTATTTTCTTCTCGATGCTGACTTTACCCATGCCAAACTCACGTAGCTTACTCTGAGCAAACTTCCTCTGCTCTCTCCAGAGTTTTCCGTTTGTTACCATGATCCCTGTCCAATAGAAAAAAATATGAAGAGATGAGGTAAGCTAGCGGAGCGTTCACAATGCCACCTGGTGATTGCGATAGACTTCTGCGACTCGAGCAAAGCCGGGCGACACGCCACCTGGTGGTGAGAACGCTCTTCGCTCTTGAATATTTAATTAGTCCTAAATTATGGACCGATCGGTTGTGCAATAAGTGAAGAAAGCGTGCGAAAATGCGAAAATTTGTGCTGAATTCGGCCCGTCAGTGCAGGGATAGGGATAGCGAAGTAGATCTCTGGCATATATTCATTAGACGTGTTTTGTTTACTTCTCTAACGGAACACGTTAAACGGGAGTATGACGATATTTTTATAGCCTTGGTTGCATTTGGTTATGGACTGTTGGTGCACTTGGAACGGTGGAGGGCTCTTTCCGTGTGCATTCACGCAAATACAAAGCCTACTTTTCAGCGTTTAAACAAACCCCCGAGTTATCGGTTTTCATTATGCGTCGCGTAAATCTCACGTCACGAAAGAGATTCACGAAAGAATATTTCAGGTAAAACTGAGATCGTGTACCATCGCATAGCTATATGTAGTGTGCCTGAGACGCCAAGCCTATTCCATATAACTCTCCCAACTAATCCATTTAACTCTCCCAACTAATCCATTTAACTCTTCCTGATCGCACGGTCTACAACTCAACCTTACAATAAAGTTATCGCCATGTAAGATACATTGTGTGTATTCACGCGATGGGTGAACATCCGCTTAGCTGCACGTACCGTGGTAGACTCCCTTGTTGCTAGCAAAGCACAGATGCAAAAGGTAGGTCGTCGGCCGAAGCGACGTTAGATTGCCCTGTTTCAGGAACGCGTCACGCACCGAGTGTAGATCGTTGAGAACGACAACGAGCTGAAATGAATATATATATATATATATATATATATATATATATATATATATATATATATATATATA